CATCACCATTTATTCATACATATTTTCCTCAATCTTCTATTTTCATAAATTCCCATTTTAGTAAAAAAAATCAATCATTGTTTGTTTGCTTTTTGTGATATGCTAAAAATTAATGATTTTTTTTGTGATATTCAAATCTTCATCCAGAGTTTCCGAACTCGACCTGACTCGTTTTTTTCTTCCCACAGGCTTCCACATGAGCAACTCTTGGCCGCTAGCATGGAGACCGTTGAAACTTCCTCTGTAATTACTCTCCTCTGGTTTTGTTTTGAGTGTGTTGTTGTTGTTTTTTTTTTGTAGCTGATGACTGTGATCTGTTATGAAATCAGAGATCGAGCTTTTTAACGTTTGGAGAGAGGATCTGCTATGTGTTTACGCCATTGTTAGCCGTAATTGATTTGGTTTTAACTGCTGTTGGTGGCTGCTTCTGCGTCGACTTGGAGCACCGGCGTAAACCTAGAAAAGGCTGGTTTGATTACAGATATTTGGCTCGGCTTGCTGATGAATCTCGATGCAAGTGTTTTCTCACTTTTGGATTTTGATTGATTTGGTTAATGAGAAAATGAGATAGTTCGACCTTATTGTTTACTTTCCATTTGGAAATGAAGGTTTTGAGAAATCAGTTGAATGGAAGTTAAATGTTTGCTGGTTATGTGGCAGTCACGGTTAACGAAGTGGAGGCATTGTATGAGCTTTTCACCAAGTTGAGTAGTTCGATTATTGATGATGGCCTCATCCACAAGGTAATTTCAGTAAATTTTCTGGCATTGTAAGAATCCATCTTCTGCATCTGGTGCCAAGAGTGGTTTACTAATTTCTGTTATTAATCTGCTTTCTTGACTTTCTGTGAAAGGATAGAAGCTTGTAATTCTGGCACTTTTACCTACTTAATTAGGTATAATACTTTGTATTACAAAATTTATCATATTGTATTACTTTATAAGATTAATCCAGCCAGCAGAAGTTGTTTTAGTGAAACATTTATGGGAAATCAGACTCTTGCATTGCCATTTCATGAATCTTGGGGTTTAACATCAGAAGCCTTTCTTTTTTTTTTTTTTTTGAGAGCATTAATCTGTAAATTTCTAAGCATTTTTTCCATTACCATTGCACTCAAATATCACGTGTTTCATTGACGTTTGACTGTTAAATAGGGTGTCCCTCTTTCTTGTCATTATCAAGAAGCTGCCATGTTATTGCTCTTTAATCTTAAAAAACCCTCCAAGCGGTTTCCTCCATCTCTTGTTGCATTCTCACAATTATGATGTAAATATTTGTTACTACATTTTGCAGGAAGAGCTTCAATTAACACTCTTCCAAACTCGGCATGGAAAGAATCTCTTTCTGGACAGGGTAAGTATCTGAGTGAATTTCTCTGCTGCTCAATGAAAATTAAACAGTTTTTTCAGTCTTGAGTTGGTTTCATGTATTGAAAAGGGCAGATGCAGATGATGAAGTGGAGAACTAGTATATTAAAGATGAACAGACCAGTTTAGAATTAAATACTGCAGTTTATAGCTTAGAGCTCTGTTAAGTTATTCAAAATTCTGATGTCTGCCAAATAAATAGTGTACAAAAATAGCCCTGTCCTTTTGTTCCGGTCCAATCTTTACAGGGAAATTTTTAAAAAGAGTACTTCGACACCATCATAAGATCTTTCTCTGCATGAGTGGCTTGATCTCTTTCATGAAAAGATGACCATATCGATTGACTGTGAGTTGAAGTTTCATGCCTGATGACATTCCTGTGATTTGATCTGTTTTTTAAAGCATTTTCTGGTCATTACTGAAGTTATAATATGCAATTTCTTCTTTTTTTGTTGTATGATCTGTTATGTGCCACTTAATTCTTCCTTTTACTTTAGTTCTAATTGCATGCATCTAACTAGTCTGTTGGCCATGCAGGTTTTTGATCTTTTTGATGAAAAGAGGAATGGCGTGATTGATTTTGAGGAATTTGTCCATGCGCTCAATGTCTTTCATCCCTTTACCCCTATTGAAGAAAAAATTGATTGTAAGGGTAGAGATGGTTTCTGCACATTCATACAATCTTTTTGAAACAGTTTACTTCTAATAAACAGTGTTTGTGACATCAATCTTTTACTCCCCAAAAAAAATGATTGCAGTTGCATTTAGGCTGTATGATCTCAGACAGACTGGATTTATTGAGCGAGAAGAGGTGAGTACCACCTGACTGCATTTAGCCCTTTGTTAGCTGTGGCTTAATTTCCTTGATTTGAAACCTACTGACGGTTAAGCTTGTAATGACTCTGTAGCCTGCTTTAGCTAATCGGCTTTTAATGAAATTTAGGTGAAGCAAATGGTGGTTGCCATTTTGATGGAATCGAATGTGAAATTGTCGGATGACCTTCTTGAGTCTATCATTGATAATGTGAGTGTCAACCATTTACATGATTTATTTGCTTACTTTTACTGGACTAGTTTGACACTATAGGATGGTTGCTCTCCCTGCAGACATTTGCTGATGCCGATGCTGACAAGGATGGTAAGATCAACAAGGAAGAGTGGAAAGCATTTGTAATTCGAAACCCAAGCCTGCTAAAGAACATGACACTACCCTATTTGAAGTATGAGACCTGCTTGCATTTTCTTAATCTCCATTGTCCCCGTTCCCTCCTGGTTTTTTTGTCTCTTAATTCCAGCCCTTCTTTGAACCAAAGCCATTGAACTCTTTGCTTATCCTGCAGGGACATCACCACAGTATTTCCAAGTTTTGTTTTCCGCACTCAGGTTGAAGAATGCTTTTGAAGGATTTGTTATCGGGTGTTAAAAAGCTTCAATTCAATATGGATCTACTTTTGAGGTTGAGGAGACTCTTTTCTAATGGTTCAATTTATTTGCACCTGCTGAAGATCAGAGGACCCAGTGTGCCATTGTTGGGCGAAAGCGTAGCGGAAAAATTGTGGCATTATTCGATGTTTTGGGTTTCTGAGCCTTAAGCATGGGGCCGTCATTTGGTAAGCCTGTCAACACCTGAATTGTACAGGAGGAAGAGAACTATTCTCTTTCTCTAATCTTTTTCTTTTCTTCTTATATTGTAATGAGGCTGTGTAGTATTATTTCTGCTGCAAATATAATGTTTGTTTAGCTTTGTATATTCTACTTTTTAGCAATCAGATACATCCGATCATTGAAAATTTTTGTATCTGGAAATTTGAAAATCAACTCCGGTTATGAGCTTTTACATAATGAACTCTTCTGATATTGTCTTGCTTCATACTTTATCAAAAAGCCTTGTCCTCAGATTCCCTCGCTCAATCATTGCCGACATTAATTGAAAGGTTGTCAATCAAATTAAGATGCTGCTTTGTGTTGACATGAAATGTATGACCCGTCCTTGGACTCTGTACATAAAGCATTTGATCATTCAAATGTACTTGACAAGACATTAGAACAAACTGATAACTGAAAGTATCCAGATCGGGAACAATTTAATAATATGAATGATTAGTAACATTGCTAACATGTAGATTTATCAGAACATGTTTGTTTGCGATCACTTACTCGAAATCCATTTTGAAGAGAATTTTCTCTTCAAAACCCTGCTTCCTCTGCACGCTATACTAGCCACCGTGCCTCCTCCCTTCCTTTTCCATCCTTTTTCTTTTCCATCATACGCTTCCATTGTGCCTTCCCCTAACGATATTGCTGTTTATGAGACGGGGGAGAGTTCCATATTCAGAAAAGACTGAAAAAATTGAGGTTTTTGTCGCCAAAATTGGGTTTTCTACCTAAAAAAAAAAAAATTGCGAAAAACTTTTCTCACTGACGACTTACATTCAGAAACTTAACCCTG